GGGCAACATACAACAGTACATATGTTACACATTTTCAAAACAAGAATAGCTGATTAACAGTGGTTGATATATTATCTATTTTATCATCAAATCTGTTGCTCGGATTAGCAAATATAGTTTCGTAAGACTGGACATATGGTTAGTTAAAGGGGAGGTGTTTGGAGTGTGATTTTTTTTTTCTTTGTGGGCCAGCTCCACCCTCCCTGAGGACGGAGGTGGCACGGCATGTGGTGCTGGGGCTCGAACCTTGATCCCCCCCACACCTGCCTCAGCTTGCCAAAGCAGGCACTTTAGACCACTGAGCTATCTCGCCGGCCCCTGAAATCTGAATTTTTAACAAGTGTCCTGGTATCTAGATGATTTTCATCGTGAAGCATCCAGGAAAAGCCAAGATAGAGGATGTTTCACAGCTATCCCAAAATTTAAAAAAAAAGGAATGACTTAGTCTGCTTGGGATACTATGACAAAGTAACTTACAGCAGTTGAATTAAGTCACTTAAACTTCTTTTTCAGTTTTAGAAACCAAAGTTCAGCTGCCAGCATAAGCAAGTTTGATGAGGGTCATCTTCCTGGCTGTCAGGTGGCTTCCCTCTCACTATGTTCTCGCATGATCTCATCTTGGTGTGCGGTGGACAGAGAGCAAGCTCTCTGGTGTCTCTTCTTGTAAGGACACTAATCTCATCATGAGAGCCCTCTCCTCACGACCTCATCATCAAACTGTGTGTGTGTGTGTGTGTGTGTGTGTGTGTGTGTGCGCACGCGCATGCGTGCGTTGCTCTCCCACTGAGCTACACCCCAGTGCAACCTCATTAAATGCTAATCACCATCCCAAAACCCCATCTCCAAATAGTATCATATGGGAGGATTGAGCTTCATCCAACATATTAATTTCAGGGAGAGACAAAATTTTTGTTCATAGTAAGACTGATTGGGCTTGTTTTCCTCAAAAGGGACAGTTATTTATTGCACAGCTGTTCTTTCCTTGAGGTTTTTTGCTTCTCTTCAACCAAGGTAAAGCCATATTAAATGAGGCATAAATATGAGAAAGTTGTGTGTCCACTGGTTTTGGCAACTCACAATGAACAAAACACGATGCTTTGGAATAATCAAAACCAGAATAAGCAAGAGAAAGGAAGAAATTAGTGTTACCAGGTATTTTGGATGTTAGTTCAGTTAAGCGCTAAATTTAGCTCTGGGCCTGCTGATAACTACAGCCAAAGGAGAAAATGCATTTGCTAATTGTCTTTCCTATTTCACGCATGTTAAATTCTGGGTAGAGCTCCAGCTTTTTCTTACTCCTGAAGCAAAATGCTATTCACAAACTTATGCCTTTAAAGATGAGAAAAGTCATTGTTATCCCCCCAAGAGCTTAACGTTTTATCTTGATGTGTTTCTAGCTTATTAGAGAAGCAAAACTAGCCATAGCCAAAGTACACCAGGGGGGCTCTCCTTCCCCAAACGTACACTAGACCCTGATGAGAAAAATAACACATTTTGTAAAATCTGCAGTTAAGGTTTTTGTAGCTCAAAAGAATTTTCTTACCATTTAATAATTTAGGTAACCCAAAAGCGCCAGCCACTTTTAAGACATTGCTCAGCAATGAAGAACTCAGAAGTCGCCGGTTCCCTGTTCCCAAATCAGTGGTACCATAAAGCAGGCCCAGCTGCTCAGCATCTCTATGGCAGGAGGAAGACAGCTCAGTGTGGCGGGAGGGTTCCTAGGATCGGGTTCACCGCTGCTATAAATTCACTGGTTGAGACCCACTGAGCAATTTACTTGCCATCTCTGAGCATTCTGCCTCCAGTGATTCAACAAGTATTTCTTAGGCATCTCAAATGTGCCAACGATTGTCCTGGTGATGCAAAGAACCCTGATTTTGAGAAGACCACAGGCTGGAGACAAGCGAGTTTTCTAACTAGAATGTAACCACTTTCTTTTTGTGGGGCTCTTGTCTCTGTTCCTCACTAGTTTGGCACACAAAACAAAACTAAAAATACGTGAATGCATGAAAGAACAAATGAATGAGTGAGCGAATGAAATAAAAAGCTGAGTTTTAAACACTTCATTTTAATTCCATTCTTCTTAGGCTCCCCTTTCACTATAATACAGGCACAACTGGTCCATCTTCTTATTTGACCTACCTTAGCCTTTAATCCTTAGGAAAGCCTCTTTTGTTGGCTCTATTCTGCTTTTTCATCTCTCTCTGGGAGTTACTCAGAATCTACTTCCATTCCTCATAAATATGTTCTTATTCCAAAAATTAGACAGATACACAGTGAGCACATTGCGTATCTCGAGCACTGGGCAAGGCAAGATGGCGGTGAGCACGGACTATGCTCCAACACATCACCCTCAGTGGCTGCTTGGTGCTTCGTACAACCTCTTTATTGCCACAAAAGATGAGCCTTTCCATGGACTTACACGACTGGTATACCAGAAGAGCCAAAAGCCATCATGCAGTTCCCCAGGAGAATCTTACGTCAACAAATTCTGGCCACCTCTCACCTCTCCGTGCTACCTGTACAACAACTTACAACCAAAAGAGCCATTTTGAATACAAGACCAGCTGGACTGTCCACATGCATGAATATATCAATGCTACATGAAATGAGCAGCATGCCCAACTATCATTCTTGTCCTCTATATCAGTCTCCACCATTACTGAACAATGATTGGGACATTGGTTTTTTTCTTTTTCTTTTTCTTTTTCAGTTTCTCTAGAAAGTATTACTCAGAAAATATATTTCAGGACTGGGGAGATAGCTCAGCAGCATAAGCACCTGCCTGGCAAGCACAGGGTCCTGAGTTCAATCCCTGATACCGAAAAGAAAAGAGAAGAAATTTCAAAATTAAAATAAATGGTATTTGAATAACAGGTCAAAGTTTAAAACCATTTCTATACATGTCATGTCAGTTCATCTTCCTAACAAAACTTGAGGCTCAGAGGATAAATAACTAGAATACAGGCCTTGTGGCCAGCAAAGTGGCAGAGCTGAAGTTTATGTCCATCTCTTCTGAGGCACAAACCCCAGAGGTCATCTGGAGGGAGCCAAGTGGCCCCATTTGGTCCCATCCTCATATTCACAAAAAGCCACAAATTCAGCCTTGAAGTGTTCGCTCCAACAGCATTATACATAATTTAAAGAATACCACATCACGATTATAAGAAAGTGTTCGCTACACAATTCTACACTTGTGTTTTACTTGGCATTAAACTTGGCATTTATGTTCCAGTGCACAGAGAGGCTCCGTGGAAGTTACCCAGGCTTCTCTCAAACTCTTGAGCCTTAACCAACCTCTTCATTTTTTCAAACGATAACTCTAAAGTGATGGATAGGGCTTTCCATCTAGAAATAAAGTTGGCTGGGTTCTTTCTGATTTTTACTTGGGTTGTGTACAAAATGTGTCTACCTCACCTCCTTCACAAAGCTGCCTCCTCCTTCCACTGACCTGTACACACCATGACGCCTGGCAAGATCATGTCTGTGCATTTGCCTGACCAATCGCCAGAGAACTCAGGCAGCAGGGCACAGCGCATGATTCTGCCCTGATAAATTATCTCTTACTATGCTGACAATGGCGGGTTCAAAATCACGATTAGATTATTTAAAACCATAATATTTCCAGGCCTCAATATCTTCATTCATATAATGAAACAACACTTTAAAGAGATTTAGTAGAAGATTATCAAGGGCTTTTCCAATTTCCAGATATACCATCACTTGGAAGTATTACAGCAAATACCGGTATCCCCAATTTAACTTCCCCCTAATATTTCACTGCACTCAACAGAGGCTGTCTAAGGGAAGGAAATCACGTTTTATATTTGCAGTCAAAGTTGCTGATCTAAACATCCTTTCAGTCACTCCGCTTACATCCTACGTGGACTATTTCGTGAGCTTCCCTGCTCAGCCGCCGCTGTGTAAAATGCGCCCTAGTCAGAGGCAGCCGGCTCGCTGGGCCGCTCTGGGTGCAGGGGCCCTCGGTTCCCACACGCTCGGGGAATCAGGAAATGACAGCGCTGTGTTCTCCAGCTCCGCAGTCCTCCAAGATCTCCTCACGCCCTGCGTGCTTGCAGGCCACCGCAGACCTTCGCAGGCCAACCGATGTTAGCCTCTCTCCGTGTTTTCCTTTCCCTTTTTATTACAGCTTTTCAGAAAGTTGATGAGGTGAAGTATTCTCCAGCAGAGGAAATAATATAAAGCGCAAAAATCATTTCTGACGGAATGGTGAAATAATTCCACTACTCTTCTTTGAGTAAGAAAATAATAATATGACAACTGGAGGCAGGCTCTGGGGATTTCATTATTGATAGATTGGAAAGAAGCATAATGGCTTTAGATGAACAGGTTTTCCTTTTCACTGGCTGAAGCTCTCTGGGATGGAGAGATGAGAAAGACAGGTGCTAGACAATAGAATAAACTTGGCACCGGCTTATTTACATAATGTGTATAGAAATGCATCGGTGTATGAAGTACAAAGTGTCTGTGTTGAAAAGTGAAAATAAAGCATTTTGGAAAACAATCTATGCTCACTGCCTGGCTTTAAAATAACTGAACATTTTATGAAATATCTCATGTTTCTTCGTGAGAATGACTGGTGGTTCAAGATCTGTGCACGTATGTGTGTACCCTTAAGAAAATGCAATCTCTTCTGCTACTGTTTAAAGTAATTCCTAAGAATGCATCCTCTAAGCAGAAGAGACGGGGGCTGGGGGGGAGGGGGCGGGCTGGGAAGAGGAACATTTGCACCTCTCTCCCATGCAGCGTGGACTACTCACCATTTCTTCATGATTAAAGGCTATCAGGAGGGCTGGAAACGTGTGTGAAGGAAAGATTATAAACAGCAATTTTCGCAGGCCAAATTGCTTCCTAAATGAAGGAGTAGGAGATTTAAAGGTGAACATAACTATCTCTTTAACAGCAGGCAGAGGTTTGTTCTGTGTGAGAAACAAAATCCTAACTCCCTCTTGACAAGTATTCCTTAACAGGCTTCCCAGATATCTGAAACCAATTTTAACCCACTCTGGTCCTCCGCTGACCACAACACTACCAGAGTGGTGTGGCCCGATTTCCAGGCTGCTGACCAGTCCTCAGGCCTACGGGGTGAGTAAATAGCCCACGCGGGACCAGCTTGGTGAATACTGATGGGCCTAGAAACCGCGGGGTTGTTATTCCTTAGCTGGAGGGGGAAGCGTTTTTTCAATTTGCTGCACTGAGAAGCATTTCTCTTCTCCTTTCAGTTGTTGCTGATGTTGGCGTATTCTTCTTTTAAAAATGCAGTTTTTTATTGTTACCAATATTTTTAACCATAACGTGAGCCTGGGAAATAGAGAAAGAGTAATATGTCCTCACAAACTGCTGTGTTTTGAGGTTTTGAATATTAGGTCTGTGCTTTATAGCTCAAAGGAATGGAATGAAAAAATGCTGAGAAGCAATTAGAATCGTTACCAGCAAATCCAAGGGTCAGGCAGTTGGAGAAGAGCAGTCTCAGGGTCGGAAGTACCTTTAGAGGGCTGCTGCCAGCTGCCCCCTTGCATGGAGGACACACAGCTCAGATCTGTGCAGGGTGCAGGAGGCTAACACAACTTCCCCAAGTATGGTCCCCATCCCGGAAGCCTCAGCGTCACTCGGGAACTGGTTAGAAGTGCATGTTCCTAGGCCCAAGCCCAGGAACTGTGAGCCTGAGTCCTGGCCACCCGCGTTTCAGCAGCTGCACACGCACTCCTGGTGCAGGCTAATGTGGGAATCGTGCCTCACTATACCTAGCCAGCACTTACTATGTGTGTTATTTAGTGTCACCTCCAGAGCCTATAGGCGGAGATCTCAGCTCTTCCCTTCAAGAGGACCTTTGTATGAGAATGATTATTATTAGTCAGTATTATTAGTTTCCAACATTATCTGCTATGGTAACTTCCAACTATTTCTAACCTTGTGACATTCATCCCACGAGATGTACTGAGTGGGCACCTTTTGAGGGTAGAGTATAACAGAAATTGTATTCTGAGACTTTTGTGATAGGCAGGAGCATTACAAAGCCACATGAGACAACCTCTCTATGCTGAAGTCATAGATTCTGCACACTCCTAATTCCTCTAAATGCTGCCCATCAGTACCAGTGTTAAAAAGGACCATTGAGTTCCATTTCCCTCCCTTTACCCAACAAGGCAGTTGATTGGCGTGTGTTCTGGAGCAACTCTTATTTGGGGCCTGCAGAGCTCTCTTGACTGGGTACAGCCAGGTTTCCAACGCTGACTCAGGGCTATCCTGAGCCTGAGCCATGTCTAAGCAAAAACCAGCAAGGCAAGTCGGGGCAGTCGGGAAAAGGAATAGGAATACTCTGTTTTCTTACACAGTGGTACTGCTATTGTTTTCTGACTTCAGAAAGTGACCTGTCTCTCCCTTTGTCTTCCCAAAACCAGGAACAATTAAAAGAGGAGGATGTGGACTGCATTGTAAACCAGGATGAACTAGCCATGACTTATCAGGAACAAACCTCCTCCCCCTGCAGTCCTCCGCCAGAGCCAGATCCAGACCAGAAAGCTTCACCCCAGACTCCAAGCAAGGAAAACATCTATGAGGGAGACCTGGGCCTAGGCGGCTATGAACTCAAACTGGAGCAGCCTCTGGGGCAATCCCAGATGAAGTAATTGGCATGAAGAGTGCAGATGCAATCACAAGCAAGGCAAGGCTCATTGAGGACCACAAGCCAAGATGATGAGACTGTGTAGGGGAGAGGCTGGAAAATGTATTGCGAGCATAAATTGGAGATAATCAAAACCTTGTTTGGTGCCTGCAGAAATGAGAATTTATTATCAGTGCTCTATATTATGCAACTGAATTTAATTGTTTACCAGCAGCCAGTTTTACTACTGGAGTGGGTGGAGTGGGGAGAGGGGGAGTCAGGACCCAAATGTACTGGGCCTCAGGGGCATATCTCTTCCATGGACAGTGCTCCGGACCCTCCACTCAGATTTTATTCTCTTCCTTAAGGAGGGTTTAAAAATAAAAAGAGCTTTTAAGCATAAGCATGTTTGGCCTAAATTGAAGGGAATGTCCCGTTATTTAGTAAATGATAAGTTTTGTATTTCTAGACCTTGACTCCCTCTTGTTCTCAGTGCCCTGTGTACAGACCCAGGGGAGCTTTCAGGGCCCACTTCTACTGGCCTTACAGGACCACACAGAGTCGACAACCTGCTGTTGCACACTGCCTCTGCCCTTGGTAGAAGGGATCGTGCACAGCAGGGCGCGCCTACGCTAAATGCAGTGCCGTCCTCTGACTGCAAGGAGTCCTTGCAGGGAAAGCTGATTTCTTGTCTAATACACTGCTTTTGCTGCAAAATGAGCCTCCTTGCTTGCTCACTTCCACTTCTGGGCTCTGCAGTGAAGCCCCTGTCTGTGCTGGATAATAATGTTTCGCAGCACAGTTGCTCTCCACGTGGCAGGAGACTGCAGAAACCCAGCCTGTCCCCCAATTCAGCACTCACAGCTGGTCAGCAGCACTGAATGGGTCAAGCTAAGGAACCAGGGACAGCATCACAACTGCCTTTTGAAAGGCAAGGCTCATGGCCCACATTGGAGAGATCAACACAACAATTCTGCTTTCAATTCTGCTGCATGATCTGTGCCTTTGAAGCCGGAAGATACCTCAAGCATAGCTTCTCTTGAAACACAGATGTTAGTAGTACACTCCAGGCTGGGTGTGGTTGTGCATGCCTGTAATCCCAGGCCTCAGGAGACTGAGGCAGGAGTATTGCCACAATTTCAAGGCCTGCCTGGGGCACATAGTGAGTTCAAGGCCAGCCTGACCTAGATAACAAGACCCTGTTTCAAAAAAATAATAGACTCCAAAAAGCAAGCCCCAGACCTAGGTGCCCAGGCTGAGTCTCTGCTGAGTCTCAATTTGGGGAAGATAGAGAAAGATGTCTTCCTAAAGACCAACATTTAAACTAATGTGTGCATTGCGCATCACTATTTAAGCCTTAAATGTGAGCTGTGGTGGTATAGGAGATACTTCTCTGTGCATCCGTTTTCTTGCTTTCCAAATAGTAGATTCTGGGAAAATAAATTGTTTTATACTCAACTTACAATCTTGTCATTCCAGATAAAAATGACAAGTGGAGAAGCATGATGTTTTCTAATTTCACTTAATCCTAATAAAATGTTGTCATTAAGTATGATTGTTTTGGCTTATGCTTTATTCAAAGCATTTTCTATATCCAAGCTAATTGGAAGTTCTGGATGAAACAAGTAGGAAAAGCTAACATCATAAGGGAAATGCAGAGGGTTCAGGGGTCCGGGCAGGCAGTGGGCTGGCACAGCAAGCCACTAAGGAAAAAAGAAGCAGCATTGCACTTGGAGGATTCCCCAGAGAAGGGAAACTGAGTCAAACAGAGTAGCACAGCCTCCTCCTTTCTCACTTGAGGTGACTAGAATTTATGAGGGAACTACATAATTAGATGGAGGAGACACTGAAAGATAAAGGAAAGAAAGTCAGAACATAAGGATTCGTCTTGTTTCTGCCTCTATCAAGTAAAAGGAAGTGATAAGAACTTGGTATTTTATTTTGTATGAAGGAAGACACAACAGGAAAGAGATTCCCCCTCCCCCCCAAAAAAAATGGAACCATTACAGGGGCCAGAAGTTGAGAAAAGAGAGAGAAATATGACTTACCATTCAGAAATGACATAAGGTGTGGAGGGGCCGTTACTCAGTCTAAACCCTGCAGCAGCTCCCTAAGAAGGCACAGCAAATGCAGGCTGGTGCTATCCTGGCAAAGCCTCTGCCTGCTTGGAAACACAGGCTCCTTACGGCTGGGCATCACGAACCACTGCCAACAAGGGAAGGAAGCACTGTTCACGCAGACTGACCCCGGTCAGGCCTGACACCATGAGTCTGAGGAAATCATGCCCCACTCAATCTGCAGAACAACATGCGGAATCCAGCTTCAAGATGTCATTTCCTGGCTTTGCCTCTGAATCAGTCTAGGATCCTATCAGCCGCTAGTGTCCCAGTTAGGCAGTTCATACAGCCAAATGCCTGTTATGTTCCTGTTGTGAAGGATAATAATTTGTGATTTTAAGAAATTCTCTGTGCTTTGATGAGCAGGCTCCTTGAGACTGTGAAATTCAAACCTATTATTACTGCCACTTCCTAATGAATAATAAAGGCAAAGCCTCTTTTGTCAATCTGCTAATTCTTCCACTCATTATTACAGCTCTAAACAGGACTCTCATTAATTAGCTTACTTGAACTTCTCACCACATGGACATCCCACACATTCACAGGTGCAAGCCCCGGTATGAGCTCCACTCCCTATTGGGGTCTCAGCTGAGCCTCTGCAATGCCCCCTGTGATTCATGAAGGTATCTGAGTAGGCCTGAAGCCTTGCAGAAAGTGCTCATTAACCATGAAACTTCTAGAAACTTCTCAGAGAGCAATCTAACTGTACAAACCGAAGCTAAATATTTAAATACCCTTTGAACCACCAACTTCATGTGTAGAACTTTTATTCTAGAGACGTGATAAATTATACATAGCAAAAGTATTTAGTAAAACAACTGAATTGCCGTTCTTGATAAATAAATCATGGAACAACCATTTCATAGAACAGCACTATATATACTGATAAATGTGACTACTTGAAAATACTAAAATTATAAGACCCAATAAAACAAATTTAAAAATAAAGAGCAAACTGAGAGAAAATACTTTTGGGGGGAGGCTTTTTTTTTAAACTGAGAATTGAACTCAGGACCTTGCACTTGCCAGGAGGCACCATGCTGCTAAGCTACATCCTGAGCAACAAAATATATGTACATACTTTTTGAATGTGTACAGGTATTAGACTAAGGATTATTCTTTAGGATATACAAATGACTCATCAATGAATGATAAAAGGAAAACTACCAATAAAAAATTGTGCCAAGATTATATAGCATTAAATATGTAGATATTTGGTTCAGATTTTCCACTTTTAGGCATCTATGTAGAAAACCAAATAGTTAACATTTATGCATAAGATGGCATATTTAAAAATGATATTCATTGTGGCACTCTCATTACAAGATATTGGGGAAAATAAAATATTCATCAATAGCAGAAGAGTTAGATAAATAAGAATCATGTTATTTTTTGTTTCTGTTCTCTATAAAATAAAATAAAAAAAAGATTTAGTTAAATACACTCCTGATCACTCTGCAGCAACAGATTACATTCTGTATGGAGATCAGTCTGTACACACGCGGGAGGAAACATTTCCAAGATAATATTGTCAGTGAACAAGTAGCAGACTGAGGGCTAGCAAGACAGCTTGGTGGCCTAAGCGCCTGCCTGGCAAGTGCAAGGCCTCCAGTTTGATAGCTGGCACTGCATGCCATGCCCACTGAAACCAGGCATGGCGGTGCACTCCTGTAATGCCAGCGCCGAGACAGGATGATCACTAAGAGTCCAAACTGCATAGCAAGACCCTGTACCAAAAGAGTAAACTTTTTTTTTAATTTTAAAATGTAGCATGCTGATAACCAAAAGGGGAGTAGGATTAGGAGAGCTGGTTTGAGAGAACCTTTTGGACTATCTGTATTATTGTTTAATTTTTATAGTAGTGCTATCATGTGATTTCCCTGGTTATTAAAATAAATTAAAAATATGAAAAACATAAGTAGTAAAGTAACATACTTTTCTTTCACTGAAAATAAGACCTCACCAGAAAATAATCAGCTTTGGAAAGTAGGCATCAAAAATGCCAGCCCCAGGAAACCTACCCTTCACAGTTCTCTGACTCAGTGGCTACGCCTATGCCAGACCAGGCCAGGTAGGCTGAGGGGAGCTAGCATTTGTTATCTCTTGTTTTCAAGGCTGATTGTTTTCCAGCTAGCTCTTATAGTTGAATTTTGTCTAAGGTAAGGAGGAGCAATAAAAGGAAACTTGGTCTATTCTGAGGATGGCCTTGACCTCAAGAAGGTGAAGGGAGAGGTATGGTCAAGAAAGACCCAGAGCAGTGAGAATTTAGCTCAATAGCAAAGCACTTACCTACCATGTGCAAGGCCCTGGGTCCCAGCTCCAGGAACGAGACAAAGAGAGGGACAGGGACAGGAAGAGAGAGAGATCACATTTGAGTGAGGTCTTGAAACATAAGACTGTCTTACCAAGTGGACTGGATTGGTGCTGGCCCAAAGAGCTGCAGAAAGGGCTGAATCACTGGAATCCTCTGCATCATAGTCAGAAGGAGCAGCATGGGCTGAGACGGTGCGGGGACCAAGCCTGGCACATTAGGAGAATTATCAATTATTCCACATGGTTACTATATGGGCTGCTTACGTGTGGGGGTTGGGGGAGGTGAAGGAATAAGAAGCCGTGCTGGAAATACAGAACACACTGAAGAGCCCAACTGGGATCCTCGGAGATGGGGGAGTGATTGAAATACTATATTTCAAGCAGAAAAGATAATTGCATGGGCTGTGAGGAGATGGAGTGTGAGTAAAGCTGGGCTGGAAGACAGCTAGGACATTATTTTAGTAGTGCAGAGGAGTGGTAAGAGAAGCACAAGCAAGGCAGTGTTGAGAGGCAGAGAGGAGGAAAGGTTCTCTTAGACAAGCTTCAGACAATTCTCTTAGACAATCTGCAAACTGGTCACTGATTAGATAGGGGGTGAGGAGGTTGGAGAATACCAGGATGATCCCAAGGTCAAGGCTTGGCTAATGGTTGGTTAGTGGTGCAGTGGTACACTGAAGGTGCAGAGAAGAGCAACAGGCCTGCTGAAAAGCCTGTGGATCCTGCTCTGAAGATGGTGAGCCTGAGGTTCTTTCAGAAAGAGGCAAGAAGAAATCCAGTTTAAGTGAGTCTAAAGCTTAAGGAGGGGCAAGGGGTAATAGCTTGACAGCAGAGTATTTTCCTGGCATGTGTGAGGCATCAGGCTCAATCCCCAGTGCTGTTAATGATAATAGTTATCAGCAGCAGCAGCAGCAGCAGCAGCATTACTAAGTTTTAAAAGTTGTGGTCTGGAGATGTAAGTTTTCAGGGATAAGACCTGCATTATAGGTTCACAGAAAAGTTCTTAAGTGCCGTCTGACCCTCCCCATTTTTCTCTAACTCCTGCAAAGAGATTCTGATAGGCTTTGCCAGCAAATGGGTGGTGCCACAATCTCTAAGAAAAGTATACTTTTCTTCGAAAGGCACCACAGGTGATTCTAACTCATACTTAGACAGAACCACTGACAAAGAGATAAGGCAGAGAACTGAGCAATGTGCAAGTCAGTGGTTGAATAGAGGATGCGTCTGTGAAGCACCCACTGGAGACCCCACTACTGTGAATCGAGGATGCTGGAGCCCTTGTGTGGGGCAGAGAATTGGATCTGAGGAAGAGTTCTCCATCGTTACCATGACCATAGCCTTAATTTGTACCTTGCCCACCTCTCCCCAGCCAAGACAGTCCCTGAGCAAATTATCACAGCCCCTGGTACCGCATATGCAGCTAACGATCTGGCAAATTTCTCTTCTTAACACCTTCTAGTAAAACAATCAGAAGCTGTTTGCATTCAGCCAACAAGGCCAGCAAAAACACTTCAGGCTCCTGCTTCAGTGTCCTGTAGCCTCTCCAGCCTATATCATAATTAGTTCTCTGGGACTCTGATCACCTTTTCCATCTCTGAAATTTTTGCATTAATCACATCACATGAATAATAAGTAGACCTAGTGAACAAGAAGTATCTACTGCTCTTAACATAATAGTAAGACATGTACTTGTCAGAGTCTCAGGGGAAAA